GCTATAGTTCTTGTTTTTGAGGTAATATCTCTAGACTAATCTAATTTGTTTGCTAGGATATTCGCCCGGTCGCCGGTCGGGGTAGGAAAGTGTTAGTAGATTCAACAAGGCCCTAATGTACGCTTTGAATACTAAAATTAAAATCCCAGCACAAAAGACAGGACATGATTTCTTTAGGTTTTAATTTACTTTTTATCTGCTTTGTTCACAGCATGAAACGATTTTTGTTAAATACATGAACAATGTACAGGGTTATTGGTTATAAATGTCACCCCCCTCTATCTTTTTTATTTGACATTTTAGAAAAAAGTGTCTCGAATAAAAGTTTTATGGTTGAAATTAAATTTTTTGGAAAACTCCCTTTCGCATATACAGGGTGTTTCAGAAATGCTGGTCGTGCTACAACTTTCTTATTTTAAATGGAACACCCTATATATTATTGAATATTCGGATTCTACGTAAAATTCTGTGAAGATTTGATGTGATATACCCTATACCTAAGTTCAACTATTTTGGAAATATTGACAGTTGAAAATTGACTTTTTTGCAACTTTGACAGGCTGTGAAACCTAAACGGTTAATCTTAGAGCAAAACCGAACTTACATTTTTTAAATTAAATTAATTAAAAAAACTGAGAACGTCACTGAATTCTGCTTAAAAAAGTGCTTCCAAAAGGTCTTCACGGAAATAAATTATTTTCATAAACAAAAAAGTTATGGAGGCTTTACAGTATTGCTCAAAATCGAGAATCGCCCTCTAGCGGCTAAACGGTTGAATATATCAAAATGCGGTTTGCACCAATCAAGATTTCATGAAATTTGCGCATCAGAGTGGGGGGTCCATTTTTTTCTATCTCTAAAAACAAAGGGCGTTTCCATAAGAAAGTGTCCAATTTGGCCCACCCTGTACATACATACATGTTATGAAATAAAGTATAAACAAACAAAAAAGTACATAAAAATGAAAAAAATAATACTTGTATAAATTGAACTCTCAAAAACAAAATAATATTTATTCAACTGAACTGTGAATGCTCCTTATGACACACAAACCAATTACAAATTCGATTGAACAATCAGTTTAATACAAAATAAAAATTGAATAATGAACAATGGCGGACAAGCTTGTCCCCTCTGGGTCTCCCATTTTCTGTCTACCCTTCGGTATACTTTTTGTGGCGCGCGCTTGTTCCCATAAACCTCACAGCACATACATGGTTGCAACATTTATCATTTGCTTTTCTATAGTAGACGTTTCTAAAAAGGTAAGATTTGAAGGAGTAATATTTCAAATAGGTGGTTTTCCTCAGTTCTATAATCCTATTGGTCAGCATAATATATCTGGCCGACCAATGTGATTACAAATTGCGTTTACATGCGGCAGATTGCATACCTGACAGTTTATCAGAAGGTGAATAGACCGGCTCTTAGCAAAATAAATGGTAGATGGTAGTTATGTTATTACAGTTGCAACGATAAATCGAATGGGTATACCGTATATGTACAACCTTTATTTTTTTACATATCCACAAAGTTTCTGCAATTATTTCTCAAATAGTATTCCCCATATAAAACCTAATGAAACATTTCCCTTTCTTATAAAATATTTTTGAATTTCTTCTTCAACATCTGTGTTTTAAATGCACTTAAAGATGTTAAAATCCATTACCCCTTATATTCTTCCCTATATAAACTTTATTATAAACTTTTGCATCTTTTCTGAGTCCTACCTTTCACAATGGAAAATATTATTATTATTTAATAAATAAAAATATTCTTCCTGATAATCAATCATGATGATGATTTGTATAGGTCTCGGAGATTGTCCATTGGTCAGGAATTGTCAGGTTTGGCGAAAGTGATTCGGGGAGTTACACAGAGTAGTGTTATCGGTCCACTCTTATGTTCAGCTTACACAGCATATTTTCGAACGTACCCTATTTGGATGTAGTCTTATATTAATATGCTGACGATATCCAGTTATATTATTTATTCCGAAAAGATGTTGCGCAAAAATTTACCCTTAAACTGTTTGAAAGCTAAATGTGAATAAATAAACCCTAATAGGACTAGGTACACAGTAAGACACCCTTAAGGAATGCGGCCAGCGCAACAAAGTACTCGCGGCTACTCAGTCAGTGTGGGAGTAGGTTCATTATATATTTTTAGCTTTATAGGGCGCCACTGGTTTACAAAATAAAATCCGCGAACTTAAACCAGAAAGTCACTGATCTCCAAAATTCCTCCAAAGAGGTTCCCACCTGATGTACCTATCCTTCAAAAACAACTTTACCTTAGTTTGGTTGAGGTCAGTAGGGGTAAAATAAGAGTCGAATATAGAAACAATGAGTATAAATCTATTTAATATGTTCTGGGGGGTGTGTTTAGATTTGCAATTACATTCCAGAGGCCAATAGAAGGTAATATACATACAGGGTGACATTTTTAAAACTTACAATGGCTATATCTCAAGAACCAAAAAAAATATAAAAAATCGCTGAAAAAAATTTCTATAGTAGGGAGGAGGAAACAAAATTATGTAATAACTAACTTGTTTTCACTCACCCCCTCACCCCCAGCAACCACAACTTAGTAATCTTAAATGACACCCCCCTACTTGTGATACCTTATCTGAAAGCTCTTAAAAAATGCTTTTTAATGGTACTCTACAAGCTAGGATTCGATGTGATTGTTTTTGGTTTATTGGGTAAATAAAACTTCATTCATTTGAAATAAAATTGTATTTTTTTAGACTTGTCAATTTCTCAGGTTTCCAAAACAATGAATAAACAAAAAATAATACAAGCCTAAAATTTTAAGATTAACGCTACGATAGTTAAATTTTTTTTTTTAAATTTTGTGAGGGGGAATAGAAATTGTTTTCAGCGATTTTTTATATTTTTTTTGGTTCCTGAGATATAGCCATTGTAAGTTTTTAAAATGTCACCCTGTATATAATACCACAGTAAATATTATTAAATGTTATTGTCAAAATTACCAAAAGGTAGCAAGAACCAGTTTGTATTGGTCTTATAAATACACTCCAATAAATTCAAGATTTACCAATAAATGTTTGACCACCTTACTCCAATGAGAGTAAAAGAGAACAATTAATTTATAAAAAGATTAATAATATTAATTAATACCTGTGCACGCTTATACTATGGTATACCGGGGCGGGTTTGTACAAAAATGTCACCTTAAATATAGTTAATTAACAATCATTGGTACAGTACACCCATTGTAATAATGAAGGAGGTAAAACAGACTTGGAAATGTACCAAGTTCAATATAAGAAATACTATTATTAATAATAAGAAAGGAATAATTAAGAAACGTTAATAAATCAACGGGTACATCACCCCCTGCAGTCTAAACATCTATTTCCATTACTGTCTCATGACAGCCTCACAGTACTGATAACAGAACCAATCGACCTCTTGACTTCTGTAATTAAATAGAGTAACTTTCGGTTTCAGATTCAGTGTTGTGGCTACTCCGACACCCCAACTTCGAAACTAGCAAACCGTCGAAAGGGAAAAACCCAATGGATAAATAACCATAAAACCCTGAAAGAGTACAAATTCTTAGAACTTAGAACCCCTTTATACTTATAAAATATATTAATGTATATATTATTAAACTAATATAGGAAAATTCCCTGAAACCTGTAAGTTGCCTTTTTGAAAATAATTCCCCTTAATTAATTAGCCCATTAATCTCCCTTTTTAAGGTGACTGGTGAGTTTTTTACTGACAAATTGCCCCTCTTGGAAGTCAAATTCCCTTTTTTTTTTTAATCGAATCCCAAATATTTACAAAAATACTGATGTGCTAATCTAAATATTGATAACGAAAAGGTAAATTCAGATTGATTAAAACGTTTGAATTTACCTGGTTACAATTCGGGCTCTTAGTTGAACAAAACGTGCTCTTTTATCGCACCGACAATTCAACAAAATGGCGTAGATTTTCGTCTCCAGAAAATACTGAGTGGTTGGCTTACAAATACGGGGACTTACGACAAAATCCAAGTTTTCACCCCAAAACCAATTGAGCCAGCTACCACTTGAGTTCCCAACGGCTGTAAAATCCCACAAAAGGTGGACGTTCCAAGGAACGCAGCAAAGAGGACCGCCGGTAAAATCTGCCAACAACTTGTTGCTTGCTCAACGTGCGAATTTAAAGAGAACGACCCTATTTTGGGAATTTACCAGGGGAGCTCATATAAGAAATTTCCCAGAATTCTATGTGTTCCAAGATGCCCTCTGGTGCCAGATTTCCGGTCTTGACCAGGAAAATGAGACAATCAGCTTAAAACGAACAACCCAAACCACATCGATGACAAACAAAACTCAAAGTTGTTATCCAATTTTCGCCTCTAACAGTAATTAATTAATTAATAATCATCATCTACCCGATTTTCAGTCTAAAAAACTATCAAAATGACCACTCGTTCAGTGATAGCAACGTAGTAGCAACGCGATAACAACAGTGGTCAAGAAACCTTGGCAATAACGCTTCCTGAACAGGATCAACAAGTGTCTCATAACCACACTTATTCGGGGAAATAAATAACCGGAAAAATGTAAATATAGTGGAATTAAGGGTGAAACATTGATTTAAAGGGTGTGAAAGTGATTTGTGGTGTTGCAGAATTTTTGATAATGGAAAATACGAGACTCTTAAAGGGGGTGTGACCTTAAATTACAACTTGCTTTCAGAAAATAAAGAAAAAAATTCTAAGAACTCTTGTGAAAATCTCGCATAGCTACTCAAAATAATAAAGTAGATACACCTAAATAAAGGTTTGTCTATTCATCGCGTGACGTCACAACCACGCGACGAGTGTGTTGGCCGGCTCAGGGCGCGAGGCGCGTGTCACTACACGCTTAGTAGTAGCTTATTTATTAGTGTATGTCGTTTATAGATTAACGTGTTCTTTTGCTTAATTTGTTCGTTGCTTGTCGATAGTGTTTCATTTATGTAATAACATCAAAAATGCCTAATTGCTGTGTTGAAGGTTGCAATAACAATCCTAAAAATGCTGGTGGTTCGTTGCATTCATTTCCGAAGAAAGAACTACAGCCAGCTCTATACAAAGCGTGGAAAAGTCGCAAAAAATTTCAATCCCAATCATCACCATGTGGTTTGTAGTGTACACTTTAATGAAAATGACTTTGAACATAGTTTAAAGACGACTTTATTGCCTAATGACTAATGAGAAGATAAAGATGAGATTGAAGTAGGATAATATTCCGACTCTCTTTTTATCCAATAAAGGGCTACAAAGGAAAGTATATTAAGAATTTCCACGTATCTTCGTGAAATACTTGCACCAGGTAAGCGAATTAGGTCTTTCAAGGTTTTTGTTAATTTTTCCTTTTTCCTCGTCGTTTTTTAATTTCTAGTTCTTTTTTAGAATATTTTGGTTCAAAACCAAAAGCCATTATTATTGAAGAAAAACCTTAGAATATCTTATTTTAAATTTAAAAAAAACTATTATTATGCAGCAAGCATGAGCAAACGCGCGCACAACGCCGGCCGGCGGACTCAGCCGTGGTTCTGACGTCACAGTGCTGGGAGTAGCAACTTCATACCACGATATCTTCGCAGCGGTTGGTCGTAGCCTAGTGCGGTTTGAAAATTTGTTCTTAGATTTTTTTTTTCCAAAACTTTTATTTTTGGGTCACACCCCCTTTAAGTGTCGCCAATTGATATTTATTCGGAAGTAAACAAACATTTTCATTAACAGTTAGGGCTTTTTAGACAACTTTCGTAAGCTAAATAAAATAGATTTCGATCCTACTAGTAGGACTTTATTATCCTGAAACTATCCTGTCATGTGAATACAAAGAATTAACTCAGCTCGAAAAATATACCTTTGTTCAACACCCACATATTGTTTCGCATTCAATCAAAAAGGTAGAAACCTAGTAAAGTCCAATGAGAAACCTATCAATCACCCAAAAATATTAAACCTCAGGTATACAGCTTCATAAATACCCTCACAAATACCTGAATTAATTACTGAATTCATTCGAAATCTCTGTTACGTACTAAGGCAAAATTTGTACGTAACAAAGACAAACGTAAATTCTGATTTGACTATTGTTTCTGAATTATCTATGGTCTATTGCTTAATGAGTCAAAAACTAGTTTGTTGTTTTTTAGTAGGGACTACAAGGTCTTAAGTGATCAACTTCACGTAAAAATAAATAGCACTAGGATTGCTGCTACTAATTCTTTTGGGAATTTTGGGTTAGATTCGAGAGAAAAATTTCTTGTCTAGTGCAAAAAAGTTAATGCAAGCTTGAAACTCTTTATATTAATAAATCAACAAGTCCGGCTTTAGTCTTCAGAAATTGCAAAATAATTATCTGAGATATTTGTGTATCAGGAAGTATAATCACATTTCTCCCGCTTATGGTCATTATGGTTGGCTGAGGCTCAAAGATTTGTGAATATATGTTGTCTAGTATTTAAAATTAATAATTTTCATCAACCCAAATATTTATTTGAGAAGCTAATCAAATGGCACAGACGTGCATGGACATATACATATGTGGATATATTTCGGTATATTAAAAAAAAAAACAGTTTCGGAATATTTTCTTCCTCATCATCATTAACAAGACAGGCATTCGCTCGCTAACGAGAATAATAAATTATACTGTTTATCCACACATTGTGCTGAAAGTACTTTCTGCACGCATGTTAAACTTGAAGTTTCATAAAGAGCCCAGGAGGCGTGTTTTTATGTAGGGAAATAAATTGTGAAGATTTAATAAGGGCTTGCCATGGTTTATATAGCGAATGTCTATCTTTTAAATAATATTTTCTTGTGTTATGTATTTTAAAATGTTGAATCAATTTTCTACTTGAGGATTCAGGCAATGATAGCTTGGATTTTATTTTATTGACAATAAATAAATTTACTTGCAGCAAGTAAACTTGCATTTATGTTCAATATTTTTAACAATGAATGAAAACAAAAAGTCTTATCTCACAATTCCAACAAAGAATATATGTATATTCAATTATTCATTGACTACCATGGTTTCGGGGTCAAAAATATTACACCCCATCTTCAGGTACAAAAAGGAATTCAGGTTACAGTCATAAAAATGCAAAATGCAACAAACTATGAATTTGGGTCCCTGGTTTACACTCTGACGTGAGATGTGAGTGAGCCTTTCATTTAAATTTAATGGAATGTAACATGTCCTCTTCCTCCTCAATCGTGCTCACCTCTACAACGATTTTATTTTTCAATATTTTTATCTGAGTTTCTGGTTGCAGGTATACACCAGTATTATGTACAGGGTGATCTATTATAAAACACACCTCTTCCTAACCTATCCCTGCGTTTTTATTCTCATCAAATTTTACCGATGGATCCACCATTCTATGTCGGTCATTGTCATTTTCCATTCACTAAGCAAAGATAGCTAACTCATCGGTGAATCCACCGATGAGAATAAAAACGCACATTTTTTCATTTGACGTTTTTGACAAAAGTGTCAAATACAAAAGTTTCGAGAAATTATCAAAAGTTTTTTTAACTAAGTCAGTTCTAAGCATACAGAGTGCGTTAAAAAAGTGTAGCAGTGCGAATTTATATTCTTTTAAATGGAACACCATGTATATTATGCGCTTATTAGTTAGTTCCCTTCAACCTAATTTGAACGTTATATAGTTTGATATGTCTATCTTCAATAGTCATAGAGAAAAACATAAAAACAACTTTCAAGCTCTCATATTGAAGAAAGAAAAAAATATAGGTACCATTTAAGCTTCAGAGGGAATTATTTATAAAAAGTTTAATGTTCAAATGTTATTCATTTATTTACAAGGTGAAATATTATAATAAATCCAGTCTTAAGTTATTATTATTATTATTAAAAAAACAAAAAAGTAGCATTAGACTTGGGAAGGGATTTTCGCGTTTTCCCCTATAACTATCGAAGATAAAACGTGAGATAAACATATTAAACCCTATATCGTTGAAATCAGGTTGAAGGGGACTAATTAATAAGCGCACAATATACATGGTCTTCTTTTCAAAAAAATATAACCTCGCTATGCTACACTTTTTTGACGCACCCTGTATGCTTGAAACTGACTTAGTTGAAAACTTTTGACAAATTCTTGAAACTTTTGCATTTGACAATTCTGTCAAAAACGTCAAATTAAAAAGTTAGGAGAGGGTGACATTCACACTAAATAGATCACCCTTTACCTGTCGATATTGTAAGTAATTTTGCGTCATTTCTGGCCTAACCAGAAAGAATCTCAAGTTTTGAATTTCAAATTGGACACCCTGTATATTTTTACTATTTCACCTAAATCCGCCATTCTGAATCTAATTCATATGCTCATGTATTGTATTTTGTCCTCTGTTAAACTTCATATTTCAATATGATCCATCTGAAAATAGTTGTTAGATTTTAGCTCCAAATGCTCGTAAAACTTACAATTTCTTGTTGTTGTTATTTAAAAATATCATTGCTTTAGCTATTGTAGCAATCATCTATTTTTAGATTATTTTCATTTGAAAAAAAGCAAGTGAACTATCTCGATAGCAGGTAAATTTCAGTCCAAGCATACATGACTTTATTTCAGCTATACAATTTAGGAATAATTTATATTCTCTGAAAGGTCTAAATCTATTAAATATTATTTTCCAAAAATCCCCCAATAGAAGTCCTAGTGACTTGAGTTGCGGCGATCAGGCTGGCCAATAACCAAATATCGTCCAATCCATCATTCATCAGTTTTCATCTAACCAATCTCTCATAAACGTAACTAATATTGAATGAGCTGGAGCCCCATCTTTCTCAAAAGTAAACTTCTATGTTTGTGACGGGAATTCTTCTCACTCATCTGGTGTTCTCGTACTTCGACAGTGCAATGTATGATGCACTGAAAACCAAAACCCGGCTCCCAAGTGAATCTTTTTTGAGTGACTACCACAGTTTTTAGTTGCCTGTGGTGCCCCCGTCTGACGTAATCGAACAATATCTCAGTAAAACTCTTCCAGAAAACTTCTGACAGATCTTCCGGTGCCGAATATTTCAAGAAATCGGTTCTAGGTATACCCTTACTTTACCATAGATTTGAGAAACAAATCATTGCGAACTGGAACCTAGTTAAAGTTGTTAAAGTTGGAGCCAACTAAAGAATCGTTCCGTTACGAAAACCAGAACGAGTTTACCATCTAAATTATTTTCATTTTTAGTAGAATGGTGTTCCATCATAGTGCACAAACCAAAAATTTTTCTGCCTTTTTCTCCAATGTCTTTATTCAGTGGCTCCTTGTCAAATTTCAAGAAGGGGTCTTCGTCACACGATTCTGTTACTTCTAAAGCTGCCAATAACTTCGTACGGACTTTGCTGTGTCGCAGCCGGTTGAAGAATAGCAGTTAAAACAGTAAGTGTTACTTTACCATCAAAGGAGTCAAGTTGAATGTACCGCGATGTTTTTCCTACTCCAAAGGCAACAGGTAACGTGAAGGTCTTCCAGTCCTATCCTTTCCCACTTTTGCTGATAGTAATACAGCGCAGTAACAAAAACCGAAGTATCTGTAGAACAAATAACCACGTTGCTTACTTTTGCAGTCGGTGTCATGCGAGAAATTTGGGTTAGGATTCTGTCATCTGCTTCTATACCAGATTCTGACGTATCTTCTTCTCCAATTATGCCATTCTTATAGTTGAACATCTTGGCTGACCATATTTAACTACACCACCAAGATAAATAGGAACAGATGTAGTACAGAATATTTTTTCTGGGGTACCCAATCAACAAACATGTCGGGGAAATTAGCAACACATTCGAAGCAGGGTCGCTAAAACATGTTCCTACTTGTGCTGCTATGGTCCTGCCTCATCCTGCTTCAAATCTGACCCCGACAACACTTACTATTTTCGAGATACAGTGATTTTTATTTTGGTTACTAACCTCACCCTTGGCAACACATTGGAAGCAGGATCGCTAAAACAGACTCCTGCTTGTGCTGCTATAGTCCTGCCTCATCCTGATTCACATCTGACCCCGGCAACACGTACTATTTTCGAGATACAGCGATTTTTATTTTGGTTGCTAACTTCATCCTTGGCAACACACTGGAAGCAGGATCGCTCAAA